ACAATAATAAGATGTTTAATACAAATCGTTGAACATCAGCACCATCCAATTAGACCCGTTTTTTAATGCTTGTATCTTTTTTTTCTTTTGTAACAGCTATAATAGGAATGCCGCGTAATTTTGACCCCGTTCAGCTACTTAAATGGCGTCCCTATTTCCAAATTTCCACACCACAACCAACAAGAAGATCGAACATTTATTACTAATTATTTGCTCGTCATTAATGAAACCTAACAGTTTAGGGATTTCAGGCCACTAAATAAATGATAAAAAAACAGTAAAATGAAAACGGAAAAATAATTAACAAACAAAAAGAGGAGCACAAGTTATATTGCAAACGTGAACTTAAACGAATTTTTCGAAAATAAAACCAAGATCTTCTAGAATAACAAAACATACAAAAACAATAGCCGAAAAAAAGGGAAAACAAATTATTAACGAGTTCGTTTCCCTGCTCAGAGCTCGCTTCTTCTTTATCCGAATTGACTACCAGCAAGATAGTTCCGTGACAAGGCAAACAACAAAAATCCAGCAAGTAAAGAATTAACCTAGTTTTTTCCCTCTATCCAAGCAAGTTGAGCGATTTTTTTCCTACTTCCAATGAAAGCTCTTTTCCTTTTGGGGTCACTTCGGGCTCTGAGGATAGCTCGGATGAAAATTTTGCTCTCAAAAAAAAAATCCAAGGTGTTGCCAGCTGAAAGGAAATCGTTTGACATAGACCTTTAAAAAAAAGACGAAATACTTTGCAATACCATAATAACCCTCTTTTCAAAATACATCCTTGTGTATCATTTTGTATTTTATTAAAATATTAACATTAGACTGTCAAAAAAAATTTTGAATTCGATATTCTATTTCAATCAACTACAACATTTGCAACTTTTACCACAATCCAATTTTTTGTCTTGAGATTCAGACGCAGTTTATATTAAAACACCGTTTGCATTATATTGCAACATAATTTGCATTACATTACAACACAATAAGCATCGTTTGCGTTACAATGCAACATCGACATCATAGCGCTGTACGTTGTTCAAGCTATAATTCTCAATACTGTTCTCTCATAGGGAGGAGATAATGTTTGTAAATGAACTATATTATAATTGTACACGTCAGCATTTAACTATATTGTGTTTATATTTATCTACATTGTGTTTGCTATATTGTGTACACATTACATGTTTGAAACTGTTCCGAGGAAAATAATTATATTTATTAAAGGAAACTATGTATTTGATTTCAAAATGCAAAATTTAAATGGTTTAAATTAAATTCAAAGAAATATTTTAATGAGTAATACAATACCAAACGATAATCAAAAATAAATGGAATTATCAATGCTATTAATTAGTAATGAGAGATCTTAAGTCGATAAAAGGTTTTACATTAAAATGGTTAACGTTGAAACCGAATTCCATTAAAATCCTTAGTTATCAAAAATTCATTACCTTCAATGCAATTAAATTAATAGTTTATACCAATAATTTTAATAGCAATTAGCTTTGTTTCCGTTTCTTGTTCGACTAACTTTGCATTAGTGAAACCGTCAGACGAATTCCTGACATTTGAGTACAAGGCCTAAAAAATGCATTCCATTTCAACCAATAGTAATTAAGTTCTGATAAGGTTAAAGAGAAAATTCTATTAATTAGGAAAAAATGTAAACAAAAGCCAGTTCCTTTTTCGAAAGCGGAAGAAAATCCAGATTGTTAGGAAATGAAACAGGAGCATCGCGTAGTCAAAACAACAGGTTGTCATGGTGACCGTTTGCATCTAATCAGATTTAACTCTTTTCATTTCTCTCATTAACAGAGCGATTTGAATAGATTTAATCTACAAAACTTTGAACAAATTCATTATTCATGTCTACAAACCCATTCGGCGACTATCCCCGCAGAAATGTTATATCTATGCCAACGTCTGTGTTGGAATATTAGTTTCTCTAATTTAATAACGGAGAAATTAAATTTGAAAAATGTTTAGGGACATTTTTCAAAAAAAAGTATATTACACGGATAGCTTCAAATTTATACTTCGTTTTCATCACAACATTCAATTACGAATTTTAAATATTTTTGTGCGGTATTTTTATACTAATACTGACAAGATTTCATGCATTGTAAATTCATGGAATTAATAATAAAAAATAAAAAAACCTGTTTAACTGTTTTTAGTTCCAGTAAAGAAAATAGAAGCATAAAAGCGTGTTTCTCCATTACAATAGGATTTGTTTGTTTGTTTTTTGTTTTGTTTTCTTAATTTATACAATACTAAACTAAACTTAGTGGAGCGACAGCCTATAGAGGGCAAAGGCTTACTGTGTCCATCTCAGTTTTCTTGACCTTGGGCTCTGGGGTGCAGGAGCAGATGTTCCGGTTTAGTGGTCAACCGAACGTGAAACCCCCTGTGTTTAGATCTCAAGCATGCTTGGTACTCATTTATCGACCAGACTGAGTCAACCTAGCCCAGCCCGAGAATCGAACCCAGGACGCGTGGCACGGGGTCGCGAAGCGCTACCACTCAGTCACCAGGGGTCTTTATACAATACTACTTAGCATTTATGTTATTATACATAATACAAAGATACACATTAATATTTAGTAGTAATTTCAGCCACAATAGTAGGCCTGAAAATTTAAATTTTCAGTTAGTAGCCAGTAGACTAATAACTTAGTAGCCACTTTTTCATCAATTGAGTCGGTGACATATATCGATAGATCCTCTCATATCGCTGATTCAAAACTAAAACGACACATCTGCAAACGTATTATGCTTGCAGATGTGTCGTTTTACTTTTGAACCAGCCATATAATACCCACACTTTGCAATTTTTTTTTTTGGCTTAGATTGAATTATATATATTTTTTAAATACATAAGAGAAATAATCTACGTCTCTAAGAAGTTAATTAGACTATAAAGAAAATATAAATATGTGGCAAAAATTTAATTAAATATATCGACATTAAAGAACTGCATTAAAAAATATTTGGGGAGGCAAAATACATTTAATATATAGGTAGATTATGACTTCGATGCTGAATTGTTTAAGAACTCTCCTTCCACTTGAATCTATCACAAATTGATGGATTCTGAAGGATCAAAACTTTGAATGAAGACATGGGACATTTTAATGGAAATTCTGTTTTCCAAAGTCTTTCTGCATCGATGTACTTTTATAATAAAAACCTATGGTAAAAAGTGGCTATAGCTAAATGTGGCCCCTGATTAATTATAGTGCCTTCCTATAAAAAACTAAGAGGGAAAAACTACTAGCATCAAAAATTTAATTGCAGCATAACTACTTCTTAAATTAATTTTTTAAACTTTTAAAATAATCAAATTTTCCACAGCGCGAGAGCTGAAAGCCTGCCATGAAAATGAGTAAAACTTAAAAAAATTTTCAACTCAAATATATAAAGCAAATATTTTGCCCTTTTTTAAAACAAATTGTATTTAAAAATAGCAGCTAAAGATAAAGTTATTCAATAAACAGTAATTAAATTGTAATGAAATAATATATATAACGAAGGACCGGAATAGCCTGGTTGGTAGGGGGCTGTGCTAATGTCCAAGAGTTTGTAAATTCGATTCCCGTGTAGCAAATAATGACTGGTGCACGTTAAATCTATAAAGTGACAAAGTCCTTCATACTTCTATAACATATAGGAGGACTAAATTGGAGACTGATCGCTCTCTGGTTCAGGTCAAAATTATGATACGTGGATGGATCCGCCCTATAAACGGGATGTGTGTGGCAAAAGTAATATTCTTAGCAATAGATGGCGCCACTAAAAAAACAAGAAACAGACCCTCTGTCTTCAATTCGCTTATATTCACCAAGCAGCCTTGCTGTTAATGGCAAGTGGTAACATAATTATTGAATTCATAGTGGCTCCAGGAAGAAAAAAAATCTTCCTGCAATTCACTCGTACACTACATAAAGACAATCCACTACCCAATTTAATGATAAAGAGTTCAGGAAATAAAGTTCCATTGATTTCTTATACTATTCCCATTAGATCTAACAATCATGAAAAGAAAGAAGCTCAATCCTGACAAATCTCAATTTTTTTTTGCAACATAAAAAAGAATTTTCCTAAAAGCAATGGTACTAACGTTAAACAAATTATCAGTCGTAAACAAACAGCAAAACAACCCTAATCAAGTCATGGTGCATTGTAGCCTTCAGCAAGCTGATATAAAATAAGCATCACATATCACTTCATGCACCAATGAAATCGATTATACCCAACCACAGTTTTTGCTAGACAAAAGCTAACAACTAAGAGGATAGCAACATTAACGCTTCATTTGATCAAATAAGAAAGCCGATTTAAAAGCAATATAAACACGAATAACTGTCCTTCAATAAACCCAAATCCAAGCGCAACGAAATGGATACGTTGATAAACCTTGAAAACAATGACAGAAAAAAATATAATTTTCAGTCATTCTAAACATATTGTTTGCTCATTAAATTTTAAACGATAAAAGAAATAGTTAAAATTGAACAATTTTAAAAAAGGCTATTGTTTACCCAAGGTTAAACAATAGGGGAAAACTATAATTTTAAAGTTTCTGTAAGAAATACGATCAAAATAAACTTACAATTTTTACACAACTTGCTGATTAACTGACACGAAAAACAAAAAATAGACAAGAACTGCCGTTTCTAAAGAATTTAATTGCTTAAAACCACCATTTTTGAATTCAAAGTTGTTGAATTGCGTGTATTAAATAAAAATTATCCCAAGAAACTGAAGCAGTAAAATATTGCTTGAGTTAATTCTCGTGTTGTCTCGTAAAGGTGTGATTTCTCGCATTATTAATTAAAATAAAAAGATGTTAGATCAAAAATCTAAATTACTTGATTCTTCATATCAGTTTTTTTTTTAAAAAATCCACATTTGTATTCTTAGAAAACGGAAAGTTCTGAGCACACACAAAATTCAGAACAAATAAAGATAAAATATATTTTATTAGTATAATTACAAACCTGCAAGCAACACTGGCGACGCACATAAAAGCTGCATAAATGTGCGCAGACAAAATTTCGTTCAACATTCCACCTAGACAAATATCTCTCCATTTTACAAGAAAAAAGGCACCATCAATATTTATTGCATACTTTACTGAATTGCTAATGGTTGCATACTAGGTTAAAACCTTTTATTTACAACCGTAAAAAAAAAAGTTTCAAATATAAAATCACCAAACAAGCGAAATGCCCTGTGAAATACATCGAATGGTAACAAATACTGCACTTTAAAAAGACATAAAGAGAGCGTGCTCTAGGCATGAGATTTATCAATAGGTAATTTGAGAGAGAGGTAAATTATTGTGAATACCCAGGTGTTTTTCAAAAACGATCCTACAAATGTATTCAGAGGTCCTAGTTCAGATTCTCAAGGTCAGCGACCTTGATTAGCTACTCTTTCCTCTTTTCGGTAAAAGGAAAGACGTTTCCACTTCCTCCAGTTCCCCCCATATAACCACCTGGGATACTACTATAGCTACTAGGTAAGCCACATGGCAATTGGCGTTTGATAATGCGAAAAGCTATGGTTCGAAAAAACGGAATAAAAATAGCCTTCACCACTTCTGGAAAAGAACAAAATTTCTGAAGCAAAATATCGAGGACAAATAATCGAAGAACAGAAGCAACCATAAAAGTAAATAAAGCAGTTAAAATAAAGCGAACACGTGAGCATCTTAAGATATATTTTTATGAACACATAAACAACTCGATTTTTGCGAAGTCTCTAATTGATGTTCTTAGAACAAAACAAGACTTACCTAGAAATAAATATGCGAGGGGGGAGATTACTTGAATTCGGGCGTATCTGAAATTATGATAAAAAAGGCATTCTGCATTACCAATATCCTCCCAAGACCCGTGCTTCGAATAAACGCAGAAAATGAGATTGTTACTTAAAAATAGGCAGGTTAGAAGAGGAGATTGAATTTCTAACCTTTTTCATAATTTTTAATTGTAAAGTAAAATATTTGATCAAAGATGGTAAATCTAATTATACTTGTATTTATGCATAGACAATAAGTTTGTAAAGGCATAGTACCAAAAAAAATAAATTAAAATACGTTATATTTTAAGTCAGCGGTCTCCATTTTTTTTAAAGATAAGGAACCCTAAATGATCACGCTTCTTTTGGTGGAACCCCGCCATCATAAAAAAAAGTTATTAGCAGCTGTGAATATAATTTGGGGAAGAAAAAAAAGACTTGTTTTATTTTATGAATTTGTCATTGGTGTATGTATTTGCTAAAAAAGATATAAGTCATCTGAATTAATGTTTTCAACAAAAAAACTGTAATAAACATTGATAATAGAAAGGTAATTCCTTTATCGTGATTTTAGTTATTTTATTTTTAATTTAAAGGCCGGATGAGAAAAACTCATAGAATTTTTAATGCAAGTGCAATTTTTTCGAAACATATTAAATGCATTAAGAAGAAGAAAAAAAATTTATTCATTGGCAATATATAAATATAATTATTACTGGTTTTAAAATTAAAAAAATATATTATAACTATCATAATCTATGATCTTCCCAAGGAACCCTAGGGATGAGATTAATCAGTTTTTGAGATTTGTCTCATAATGAAATCTCTCATAGACAAATTTTTCAAAATCTTTTGAGGCAAACTAATAAAGAAAAACTAAATGCAAATATAATTAACTAGTTTTTTCTTTCTTATCTATAACAATAATTGGACGATGTGGACACGATTATCTAACTAGTATACAGATTAATAACAAATATATTAGAATTTCAAAAATTAAACTTTCGAAAAAAATCCACATTGCAATGTGAAAAAAAAGTTATCGCAATTTGTAGTGTTAAAAAATAAAAATTCAGAGCCGTACTGTCAAAATTAAATTCTAAAAAAGCTCTCATCTCTTAAAAACACAAAATTAATGCATGAAACATCACTGAGAATATAATATCCCTATGTCGCGTAGAGATACATATCTACGCTTCGATGTTAATATACGCGAAATAATGTTAATAAATACAGTGCCATTGAACGAATGTTGAAAATTCGACTCAAAACCGAGACACCAATTAATAAACCCGAGAACTAAGATGACAAAATCCATTACATAATCATGAAATGAATACGCCAAGCAAACCTGAAGTAACGGTATAATTTGACTCGACAAAATTTGGCTTCAGCAGGCGATATTTTTTGTTCATTCCATGTTCCATTGTTTTTCCAATCGACGCTGAAAGCCATTAAACCCACCGTCCTTCTAAAAAACAAAGATCTTATCCTAAGAAAATTATACAGGCAGCAACCGCAGACACTTATTCCAAGTTTTTGAATGTCATCGTTTCGTCTTTATTCATCGCTTTTTGTACTTTTTAAAGGTTAAGATCTAAGGTTGCGAGTATAGAATAAAAAGGTTGACTGCTCTGAGGAATATTGCGTAAAGGACACAAGGCAGAGGTAAAAATAAACTGAGGTATTTTTAAATGCCAATTTTTTTAAAAAAATTTTAAGAAGTCAATATTTGAACAACTTTGTTAAATAGAAAATTCAGAATTCCTTTGTTCTAATCAATGAATACCCTAACATGAAACAGGGCGATAATATTTATTTTTTCTTCGGAAGATATTTTTCCTCATTATTTAATACGCTTTCAAAAAAAGTTTCTTAAATCTATCACCTTAGCATACGACGTATTTTTGCATTTCAAACATATTAAGACACATTTTTACTAAGCCCTAGATAAATTTTTACTAATCAGAGATGTATTTTGATACAAGCATTGCAATTATTAAAATTATTGAGAATTTTAATAACATACTCTTAAAAGATAATTCTCAACTTACTAGCTGACAAAAACATATGTTGAACATTCGAAAATTCCCCGTTAGACACTTGGATTTTTAAAATTAATATTTTTGTAAAATAAAATCTTATATATAACAATAAAATTTAACAATTTTTCAAACGTGTATATGTAAGACCTGAATGTATAGTCAATAAAATTTTAAATATTACCTAATTAATAAAATCTGCAGCTTAAGACTGATAACAAAAAGGTGAACATCGAACGTAAAAAACAAGTAGTAAGCTAAAAATAAAACAAAAGGAAACTTTTTCCAAAAGATTCGATTAAGTGGTGCTAAAAGAAGAATTCTTGGAACAACAGAAAAAGGTGCAGGATAACAAACAAGTGCAAACACATAGGAGCAGTTTCTTTCCATATTACATTCATCTTCTCTTCTAATTCTCCAAATTTCATATGTAAGACTTAACTTAATTTTGCCTCTCCAAATTTTTAAAAAATAATAAAATCTAAGATCAAATAAAATAGATTTATTATTTATTAGATAATATTTAATAGATTTTGTCTTTTAGAACAGTATTCTGAATTGTTCGGTTCAAATCTTCTGTTCTGTTAACTGCTCAAAACTCAACTAAAAAGAGTTTAGCGGTATCCAAATGGTGTTTCGCGGAACACAAGGGTTCCGTGAAAGGCTCACAGAGGCTCCGAGAGTTTAAATTTTTTTAGATCAGTAATTATTTTTAAAATATATCATATTTAAATGCAAAAATAAACCATTATTAATTTGATATTTTGGCTATTTTTATGAAATTATTTAAGTAAAATACTGATGGAATAAATAGCAGGTTTTTATAAAAAATATATATATATATCCCCCAACAACACTATATTGAATAAATTATGAAAAAGATATTTGTTTATAAGAAATAGCACACTATTTCTCATCAAACTTCTTAATTCAGAATAAAAATGCGCAATTCTAGAATTATGTTTCTCTGATAACCAGTTCTTTTTCTAAAACTATAATTCAGATCACACAAACATTAGAAAAAATTCAGATGCCATATTAGGCCTTCGAATTAAACTATTGAATAGAATGAGATCTATAACTTTAATCATAAGACTATGACTGCAAAAATTTTATTCTTCCTATTTAATGTTGTCAAAATAATTTGCAGTTTTTAGTACATTCACAGCTGATAACTTAATAAATAAACTTAGGATTCCGCCATAAGATACTAGATCATTTAAGGTACCGTAGGCGTGAAAAAATTGCGAAACGTTGCTCTAAGTTTTTAAAATCTATAATCAGTTAAAAAACCTTTAAGAGCTGATCCTTATTGAAATAACTCTGTTAAGTGAACATAAAAAATTAATAACAATACTGTAAATAATGAAACATTAGCAAAGGAACATTTCATTATTTGCAAAATTAAAACACCCTCAAAACTGTAAAGGAAAAAAAACTGTTGCATTAAGAGTTTGGAGCAAGAATTCTTATTGTGTAAAAATTTTATTTTTACTGTGAGTAAATTTTTTACAAAAATGGATCATTCAAAAAAGATTTCTTTGGACATCATGAAATAAAATAAAATTCAAGAATTTTTTTTCCACTTCAAAAGTTATATTTCCAAACAAACTGGTATCATTGAAAATGGAGTCCAGCAAGGTTTAACAGAACTTAACTTGCACCAGAGAAGAGGAAGCAACATTTGCGGTTGGCTGAACAACAAATGTTCCAAGTTCATTCAAATCCCTTAACAATATTCACTCCCATCCTTGGAACTATTTTAATGTACCTTGGTCACACAAGGTTATGCAATTTACAAAAATTATTAAATTCAGATATTATATAGAATTGAACACAGAAAGGATATGTAACAAAACTGGTGCTCATTATATGCAGTATGTATTAAAAGGTTAAAAAATGATGTCTTGGATCGTTTGAAAGCAACAAAATTCCTAAATTTCTCCAGGAATAAGACAACCTGATAGTATTTTATCACAACTTTTAACTTAGATCTTTTTTCTTACAATTAGGACTATATTTTTTTCTGCACTACTTTAAATGAATGTTGTTGAAGTTTAAGAAATTAAACAAAACAAAAATAAATAATTGCAAATATGTAAGGGCAAAATTAAGCCTATGTTAATTATGATTTTCATACTTATAATCCATTATTTTTTAAATTAACTTGTAACTGAGAACAAACAATAATGAAATTATGATAAATTAAAGTGCTTAATTATTGTAGCTAAATAGGAATAGAAAAAGTGCCAAAAATTTTAATGCACTGATAACATTAACTAGTTTCAACTATGAAGTAAAATAGTATCTAATATGGTTAAAAGAAATTTATACGGGCAACATAAAATAGTGAAAACATTGGTGATGGAGGAAACATTTGCAGTGGTGTTGGATGCATTCTACTGCGATTTTGGGTTGAAAATTAAAACCAAAAGTTTTCCCTTCCTTTTTATTAACATTTAAGAAAAAAATAATTTTTTCTTCAGGTTAGACAAAATTATAACCCTAATTATCAACCAGATATAAAATAATTATTAACCAAAAAAGATTCTAGCCAGGTAATTCAAGATTGCTATATAATGGTCAAATATCAATCTATCAATGATCATTGCTTAACCATAAAATATGGATGGAAAAGGAAAACTATATACAGGGCCCGTGC